ATGTATCTCCAGGAACATCCAGTAGATTTCATTAAAAATTATACTAAATTGATAAATGTCACTGAATCATTAGCATATGATTTCATACTCATTTGTGCCGAGAGGATGCTCATGGGTATATAGTGAAGCCCGACAAAAAGGACCACCATGTTCCCATGTAGGGTTCTGGCAAGAACTCTCATCATCTCTAGGATCCCTCTCCTGCTGAGACCACCTAGAAGAGGAGTTGGAAGAGTTTGTGATCTTACAAATACTAGTGGAACAGTAAACAATGCGCAAGGATTGGGTTATGGACAGGTTCTTCACTTTCCAGATAAATAATCACACATCAGTAGAAGAATGAAATTTTTCTATCTATGGGTAAATAGCACTCAAAGCAACACTCATTTTATTTGATTCATGAAATGAGAAATCAATTCCTGCATGGCATAGAGCAATCTCTTTGAAATCCTCAGTATGATGGAACTGCATCTTTGAGTCATGCCTGACTAAACATTCTCACATCCTGGGCTCTTTAACTGATTCTTTAATATATGGGTTGCTATGAAGTATGTTAGTGTTTAGAATAAATGGTTAACATGACAGGCGATGTGAAGTGGTACTAGAATCTAGATAAAAAATGTGACAATATTCAAATTTTGTAGGGAAAATAACTTCTAAGTGAACTATGCAACCTAAATCCTTAGAAACGTGGAAAATTGCAACAAAGGAGGCATGCAAATATCCTGTGACTACCTCTTCCCTTATACAAATTTATTCATTTATTCAATCAATCAATCTTAAAATCTTCCATATTTTGCATTAAAGCAAGGCAGCTTTAATAACAAGCAACCTTCAAAATGTGTAACAGCTCAAACACAGAGAGGTTTATTTCCTGTTTCCTTAATGCTGGGTGCATGCACAGGTTAGTGTCAGCGCTGCTTCCATGTGGTCATTCAGGGACTCAGGCTGACGAGGGCTCTGGAATCTTATTGGGTGGCTTTCCAGGTCTTCCATTCTAACCAACCAGCAGGAAGGGGGAGAAAGCATGGAGGACCACACAGATGAGGAAATGCATGAAGAAGACATCCTCAAAGTAGTTTTGCATCATGCTAAGACACTTTTCACAGAAAGATAATACAGTCCATGTTCTCAAGAGTTTACATTTTAGTGGCCAGATGTAAAGAAATCATGGTAGTCATGTGACTCATGATCCTAGATGTACATCAATGGAGAGTTTTTTTGAAAGCACTTTAGCCTGTCAGTCAGTAAGTTTGGTTATCAGTCAGCAGGTTTGGTTAGAATGCCAAAAGAAGTTCTGAGAGACAACCATATTTGAAGATCACAAATATTAGAGAAAAATCTCTTAGATTTTTCAGAAAATAATTAATCACTGGGTGAACAGGATTAGAAGTTCCTTTTTACTCCAGCTGAGTGACAGCTTTCTGGTCTAGACTGATGACAGCTGTGGGCTTAAGCTTTCTTCACTATTTTTCCCGTTGAGCCATTTCCTTTTATTTTGGTCAAACTGCCATGGACTGAAGGACTCCCCTGGGTCCACAGTCACATTCCTCCTTTTAGAAAGAACCAATGTGGCCTTCTTGAAGAATTTGTCCTCAAGCATCTGGCTGTCCTCGCCTCTTTAGGAGCAGCTCAGTTTGCCTCCCAGGGGAGGTCAAGGGCAGGGTCTGCTGGACACCCCTGTCTATGCTGTGCTTCCTTCCAGACACACCAGGTGCATCTGTGCCCTGCAGTGCTCATGTCTGCATTCCTCCATCTTCTGGAAGACGCTCTTACCTGGCAGAGTGATGAGGGGTGGAGAGGGGGTTCCTATAGAGTAGAGAGCAAAAGGAAAAAGGAAGAAAGTCCAAGTAGAGTGAGAGGAGTCACTGAGACCAAGAGAGTGAGAAAAATTGAATTGAGATCTCACACATGGGGATGTCCCAACAGTCTCACTGCCCATTCCTTGGTACTACCAGAGTTCTCCACAGACTCTTCCTGTAACTCCAATGCTGGCTGCAAGGTTCAGGCTATTAGTAGCTCAGATCTGCCAAAAGCACTGGAAGACTGGACAATGACACATAAATTGTTTTTTTCCATTTTTGGGATTTGGAACAACCTCGAGAGTTGCAAAAGCTTGCCTTGTCACAAGAATGTTTCTGAAAGTCCTTGGTGTCTGACCTTGGCTCTGTGCTTCTGGGAACAGTGGCACAGCCATCCAGGGTGGTGGAGACCACCTGCAATGTGGAATTGACCACCAGCTCCTTTTTGCCTTGCCAAAGTGCCTGAAATATTCTGGGAATTTGGATTTCTGTTCTTTCTTTCAAAGGGCCCTTTAGAGCAACAGGCAACACACATGGTCCACGTTTAGCCACAGTAGACCAAAAAGGATGTGTTGGCTGCAGTTGTCAATTATTGGCATGTTGGTAGGACTGTATTTCTATTTCTAAGTGTATTTTCTCAGCTAGGAAGCATTTGCTGATGACAAGCTGTATTGGTGCCAAAACTCTACTAGAAAACAGGCTTGTTCTGAAAATGGCTTGCCTCCCAAGAGTTGTTGTAAAGAAAATTATTTCTCCACAGGCAATAGCTGCTCTTAAGACATTAACTTTTGGAAGAAAATAAGGCTTGAAATCTTTGTCGTATAACAAAATGTGTGCACACAGTAGGTTCTTCATAACAGCATCCTGAAGGAAAGGATCTATGTGCTGTCCATGCGTGCACGTTGAGGAAGAGAGGGGACCAACAGCCCCAGAGGAAACTTCACACCCTAGAGTCTGAATGGCAAGGCTCCTACCTCCCTTGCAAAGGTCACAGCATAATGCTGGCTTGACCTCTGAGCTTCTAGCACATTCTGCTCTAATCCTGTGTGCATGAATAGGAAGGCCAAGTGCTTTACCTTCCCAGGTAGGGACAGTTTGCTCCTTGAAGAAGAATGGGATTATTGGTGAATGAAGCCAGCATCCTGTGTGGTAACAAAAAAGGGAATTGGTAGAAAATGCATCATCCAAGTTGCATTAACTCAGCTCTGAGGCATGGGCAAGTTCTCAGGATATCCAGCCAGATGTAAAGCCTCTGAGAGGTACAAGGCTAGAATGTGTGTGATGACATAGAGTGGGGTGAAAGGCAGGATCATGGGGACTCAGCGGAGGCCACCCCAGACCCCTAAACCAGTGGCATACACTTTCCCTGCCATCCGTTACATCTGGGCTAATCTCAAGGCTACTGTTTTGTTTTTTTGTTTTTTGTTTTTTTTTAATGTACACATTCTTTCTCTATCAACAGTCTGCATGGAACATAAGTGAAGTAATCCAGCAATTTCCTTCCTATCCCACTGTGTGTCTGCTGCTTACTCATTCTGTGTTCTCTTTGCTTTGGACCAAAGTGCCTCTCGGTACCAAAAGCTTCATTATTCTATCCATCTGCGTGTAAGCCAAGATCCTGACTATTCTGGTTTTGTTGTTGCATTTGTTTAAAGCTTAGCCATTTTCCATTCTGGGCAGTTACAACTCTGTTTACTATGAGTTCCTCTGTGTGTGTAAATGTTTTTTCCCCCATTCCCAACCTCCAGCTGCTGTGAGAGCCATAACTCATCCCCACATTATCAGTACAGAGTCAGGGGATGATGAATTTTGGGAGGCTTAACTTGAAGGTACTAGGGAGGATGGGGAGGGGGAAGAAGAAATTTATTTATGAGAGGCCATGGGGCTGAATAGAAATAAGACCCAAACAATATGCTAACTACATATCATCAGGAGAAAATATCACATCTACTTCCTGCAAGATGCTATCATTACGTAGAATGAAGCTTATTCTGGAGTATTTGCTTGATAGAAAATCTATCCTGTGGTTCCAAGATAAGACTGACCCATCCCGACCTCTTCCTGATCTCATACATCCTAGCTCTTTACCAACCTCCTCCTTCTGGTCCTTGGGCTGAGCTTACAACTTAGTTGAATAGTCAGGGTCCTTTCTTTTGTAGATGACTCACACTGCCTTAAGCATAATAGGACTTTATGGATTCATATGTTAGAAAGGATACTATGAAAGATCCAAAGACAAATAAAAAGATACAAGAAGCAGGACTATATAATTGGAACCAGGACCGCGCTTCCTTCCCCCAACTCTAACCTTTGCGTGTTGTTGGAATGTTTTATTCTTCAGACAGGAGCTCCATGTGCTATAGGAAGATGCCACTGTGTAAAAGTCCCACATTCTTGTCCTCACAGTTCAGCAACCCTAGAGGAAAGAATTTCTGTCTCATAACATCCACATACAATTCTGGAGTTGTATGTGGACACTATAAGGCAGGGCTATGAGTCCAAAAGACTAGATTGGCCTGATTGGATAAGTCCATGTGCGGGGAGGAAGATCTAGTGCCAGAAGAAAGGCAAGAGGGGAAAGAAGAACATGCCCGGCAGTGAAAAACAGCCTTTACCACAGACCTCTACACCACCCATCAGAAACCTTTCTTCTGAGGATGAAAAGCAGTGGGGCCCTAAACCTGACCTGAAATGTAACAGCAAGTAAAGTGCTACTTGGAAATATTACCTGTAAATCACTTAGCATATCAAAATGTGTCTCCTGAGCATCTCCATTATAATGAGAAGTGGAGTCAGCTTGTTGGGCTTCATTCTCAGCTTTGCTGTCCTATTGAGTTATCTCAGTTAGTGCATCTCTCTGTCCTTGGTTTCTTCATTAGAAAAGGGGTGCCCTTCTCACAGGGTCATGGTCAATATTAATGGCATAGTTTGTGTTGGGGTCAAAGCTGTTAGAGGTGGGTGGCTAGAGGAGCCATTGGGTCCCCAAGGCTAATAGTGCCTCTCCGGAGATTCTTAATGACAAACCTTGGAATTTTATATAGTTGCTTGGGTCAAATGGGTTCAAACTTCCCCTTTGCTGTGTGAGGAAAAGGTGCTGACTCAGCATTATGTCCCACGCACACTGTCAAACTCCTGGACTTCATCCTGTTTGAGTTTCTCTCTCTCTCACTCTTTCTCTCTCCCTCTCTGTACGTCCAGGAGTGTACACATTTCTGTCCAGCACTCTGAAGTCTCTGGAAGAGAAGGACCATATCCACCGAGTCCTGGACAAGATCACGGACACTTTGATCCATCTGATGGCCAAGTCAGGTCTGACTCTGCAGCAGCAGCACCGGCGCCTGGCCCAGCTCCTCCTCATCCTCTCCCACATCAGGCACATGAGGTGAGGCACTCCTGGTTCTCCACAGGAAAGACATAAAGAAAACAGACCCCCAAATATACATAACAGATCCCCCCAGGAAGGGCTGGTACCTGGATGTGGACAGCACACTTGGAACAGTTTCTGGCATGTAATAAACATAAATGCTCTGGGAGGATAGAAGGAAAAGCCTTCACACCTGTTTGGGGCATAGGGCAAGTGTAAGAGAAGGCTTCACAGACAGAGGGACATTTGCATTCAATTCAAAGCATATGCAAGGTCTTACATGGGGGAGGGTGCCCAGTGTGCATGTTGGGGGAAGTGGGCAAGCTTGGTCATTCACGTTTCCCACCTGATCAAGGGAAGTCTTTGAGGCACTCATCCTCTGCAGGTAGTGGGCATGTCCACAGTGGTTCCTGTGTCACTGAGAAATCCTAAACAAGAGACTCTGTGCCTGGATGTGTCATGGAGGGTCAATGTTGACTCCTCCATCCTTCTCAAATCTCTTCTTGTCACCTCCACTGCCATTACTCTAGTCCAATCTACCATCATTCCCTTCCGAGTTTCTGCACCAGGCACCTCACACTTCTTCCTGCCTCCAATTTTGATCTTTTCAAATTCATTCTCCATGACGGAGAGTGACCATCCTAATAGCAAATCTGGTCATGTCGCTTCCTTACTTAAAACCATGCAATAGCTTCCCATTGCTTTTAGATAAAAGTAGAAATCTCTTTATTTTGCTTATGCTACTCTTTTATGCTCTACCAGTGGTTCTCACCTTTCTAATGCCACAACCCTTTAATACAGTTCCTCATGTTGTGGTGACCCCCACCCATAAAATTATTTTTGTTGCTACTTCATAACTAATTTTGCTGGTGTTATGAATCATAATGTAAATATCTGTGTTTTCCCATAGTCTTAGGCTCTATAGCACTGATTCTCAACATGTGGGCTACTAGGGTCACCCAAAGTGTTTTCATGGCAGGGCAAGTCTCCAACTGCTGATGACCTTTCCCCTGCTGAAGTACAAATATATTCTCGAACATTCTCTTGGTTCTGCCTACTCATGCTAGTTTTTAAAATTTCTAGATAGATAATAGCTGTTCTATGCTTTTCCTGGTAGTGTGGTGGAGTCGGAGCAGAGTGGGGCTGGTGGAGGACAGAGGACAGCTGGTAAAGGAGAAATGCTATGTACCTGCATTTCCCTAAGTCCATTAACTCCCTAGTTTTTGGACATTTACCACATTCTTGGCACAGTTGTAGGCATATAGGATGGGCAAATTGCTGTCCCTCGTGGAACTTGCAGTGTATATGTTGATGAGTATATGTGCATGAGAGGTCAAGGATAAATATTAATACAGACATACATGAAAAGAAATTTCAGGTAGGAACACAGAGTCACGTCACAAGGGGTGGCTGGGCTGCAGGGGCTGAGGCCGTGGCCTTTCTGGGAAGGTGGATTGGAAGGTAGGTGACGTGCACTCGGGGAAGCAGGACAGCAGGTGCAGACACACTGAGTCTGGAAGGAAATGTGCTTAGTTTCTTCAATGGACAGCACGAACCCAGTGCAGGGAGAGAGGCAGGGGGTGTGCTGACAGGTGGGGGCAGCCACTTCAGTTACATCCTGTAGAACATGGAAAAGACATGTAGATGCTATTCTGAGTTAAGTGGAAAGCCCTTTTAAGCAAGAGACCTTCTTGAACTGTCTTCCACATTTTAAAAAAAGTCCCTCCAATTAGGCTGTATCTCTCTCTCAGCAGTTCTCTGTTGAGCTATATTGCAGCTAAAAGAGAATGGAACCTCATTTGAGTCCATGGGAGGAAGCGACCTACACAGCACAGAAAACCCTAAAAATGCCTCTTTAAACAGGAAGAGCGATCGGCACATGTGTTTGGACTGTTCACTGTTGCTGTCTGGGAGTGTCAGGGCCTGGGGTTTGTGATGGTCTGACGCATCCTCTCTATGTGTCCCTCCCGGCCCCCGCAGTAACAAAGGCATGGAGCATCTGTACAGCATGAAGTGCAAGAACGTGGTGCCCCTCTATGACCTGCTGCTGGAGATGCTGGATGCCCACCGCCTGCACGCCCCGGCCAACCGCGGGGGCGCCCCCATGGAGGAGCCACACCAGGGCCAGATGGCCACCACGGGCCCAACTTTACCACATTCCCTGCCAACGTATTACATCAGTGGGGAGGCAGAGGGTTTCCCCAACACGGTCTGAGAGCTCCCCATCCCCCCAAGTGTCTGAGAATCCCCGCAGCATTCTCCCCACGTCATACACCACCCATAGCAAAATTCTGCTCCTGAACACACTCCGGCTTGCACCCAGTACCACGGCTTCCTACTCAGTGGCCTGCGTCTGCTTGTTCGGTCCTTAGTGGTGCGTCTCCTTTTGGGAACAGCCAAAGGGACCCAGAGCTAACCTCTTGGGGAGAGCTCTCCTTCTCCCTTTGCTATGTGGCTAAGCGTGAGGCTGCCAGGAGCTGGCGCGACTGAACTTGGGCTCCGAGCTGGGGCTCAGATGAGTGTGCACTGAAGCTACCTACCGAGAGCCAGGCCTGGGGAGCGGACGTGGCACCTCTGAGAAGCACTTTCTAATGAATCTAAGCCACAGGAGAGAATCGCAAGTGGCTCCTGTACCTGCCAACTTGGAGAGAGCTAGGTGGAGGGTTTATTGTAGCATCCTCTTGTATTCCTATAGTCATGTATCTTTTTATTAAACACCTTCACGCTTTCGCTCTGTTGCTTGGCTGTAGCTGCCGGTTCCGTGATTGTCTATTCATTTCCCCTATAGGAATACAAGATGCGCACAGGGAAGGAAGACCCCCTAGTTGTCCACTTCAGACACTGCTCCTCCAGACTGGCCGAGTGCTCCCCCATTGGCTCCCCGAGAGCACTTTGTCCAGTCCTGGGTCCCGGTGGATCCTGCTTCCCCAGAACCCGTGGAAAACAGCAAGTTGTCCCAGCTAAGTCACCTCCAGGGCCCCGTGAGGGGTACATCCTTGGTTTTTTCTTTTTGTTTTATAAAAGGGATCCCTCTCCCCATAGGACTCACCTGCTGTGCTGTGGTCTCACATGTACCACCGGGGATGCGCTCCTTGGATCTCTCTAGTGTGTAATTTGCATGGAAGGTGGATCTAGTCATGTAAGTGCCCAGCCGCTGACCAAAATCACTTTAAAGGAGAGGGCACCCTGGTGACACGTGAAGCCCTGGGGCACTGGCCTACATGAGCACATGTGCATGACTGTCGGGTCTAGAGCACAGCGAGGAGAGCAGAGTGAACACTGGATGACACTGGGAGACTCTGGGTGGCTGGCCACACTGCACTGTGGCTGCCTGGGACTTGGGGGCTGGCCTCCTTTTCTGTACTTCCCCACATGGCCCTGATTGGAAGCAGCAGCAGTGGGCAGCGGCGACCCTACAGTTGGCCCAGCACACTCTGAAGCTGTGGTGAGTGTGTGGGGGGATTGGGGGAGCGAGGAGAGGAGCACCCCCTCTTCAGGCGCCTGGGCTTGCTCAGACTACACATGCCCTTGCTTATTTACTAAGATCATCCAAACAGAAGGGCTTGGCCTGGGGAGGGGAGAAACTGCCCCTAGGGCTCATTTCCTTAAACTGACACTCTCTCTCCAGGAGAGAGAGACTAAACTTGAGCCCCAGAATCCATTGACCTTGAGATGAAAAAAAGGAGGTCTCACACCAGCCAAGGGCAGCCTTCCCCAGGACTCTTTCTTATAGAGAGCACTTACGGGTTTCCTCTTCTCAGCTAAGAAACAAGTTTACTTTCTGCCGATGACCTCCCCGTCTGTCATTTGAACCCCAGCGGGAGGGGATGTGTGGGCCGATAACCCAGCCAAGCTCCCAGGGTTTCTCCGGGGATGCCTGTTCCACAGAGTGGATTTCACTCGTTTCTAATTGCCCAGCCAGTGGCCGTCAAAGGCCTGGGAACCAGGGAGGGTCAGGGGAAAAAAAAAAAAAAAAAAAAGATGTTTCCATACATGCGCATCTAAATTTGGGGGCAGTTGTATGTGTCATCATTCAGAATATGTTTAGTACATAATTCCTTTGTTGTTTTGTTTAATAAGCACCTTATATAGTATAATATATATATTTTTGAAATTGCAATGCTTGTTTATCAGACAACTGAATGTAGTACTTCTGTTCTGGATTTGATTTGACTGGGTTAACATGCAAAAGCAACAAACATATTCATTTTTTTTTGTAAGTAGTCATTGATGCCTAAGGCCTGGTGATTATTCATTTAAATGAGGATCACATTTCATATCAACTTCTGTATCCACAGTAGACAAAACAGCACTAATCCAGATGCCTATTGTTGGATATTGAATGATAGACAATCTTATGTAGCAGAGATTATGCCTGAAAAGGAAAATTTATTCAGGGCAGCTAATTTTGCTTTACCAAACTATTAGTAGTAATATTTTTGGACTGTAGCTAAATGGGTCAGTGGGTTCTTTTTAATGTTTATACTTAGATTTTCTTTTAAAAAAATAAAAACAAACAAAAAAAATTAGGACTGTAGATGATACAATACCAGCTAAATCCAAACAATACTACAGTGGAGAGTTTTACATTATTCATCAGATGTCATTTGTAATCATGTTAAGGTACTACTACATTTGACATGGGCAGAGAATACCAGATGGCTGGAATGTTGGCCCAGGAGTCTCAGATAATTTTAGAAATCTCTTTTTATTCTCATTTGAAGTGCCACTAATAGGCAGCTGACCCTTTGCAGCTACCGTTGCTGTTGGGGTCAGGGAGCATACTGTGTTTTCCCCTCACCACGAGGCAGTTTAGAGTTTAAAAGACATGGTTGGCCTGGGCAGGGGGTACTGTGGGCAAGTGGGCTCAGAGATTTGGAGAATGGGAAATAAAGTAATAAGAATCTGGAAAGGATGGTGAGTCAGATTGATATTGCTGTCTGGGGTTCAGACTTTTGCCCTGGAAACCACAGATAACTAGCTCTATCTGACGCCATTGCTAAAGGGACAGCTCACGCTCCAGGGAAGATCAGGCGATACCCTCAGTCCAGCCCAGGGAACAGGCAGTGGTCTGTGCTTGTTTTGGCCACTGCCGAGCTCCAGGCTGCTGTCCCGATTCGGTAATGCCGTCACACACAATCCAGGGCTAGCTAGCTCGTCCAAAGAGAAGATTCCATGTGGGTTGCCAAATCCCCAAGGAAGTGCAGTCTGTGCATAGATTTCCCTGTTAATGTGTGTGTTTAACATGCCAATACCCCATGTCTTTCGGGGGCTGAACAAATAAGGGACTTACTGAGAAACTGAGGATTTACTTTCAGTCACAGGCACGTGTTCTCACCTGTTACATCGGATACATTGAAATGGCCATTGATGTAGGCTATTGGTTTAGAGTACCCCTACGTGGAACCCATTCCAAACCTTGTCCTATTTCTGAGATGGACCACGCATACCCGGGATGATCACTTAGATCATCATCTTGTCTGCATTCAAGGCCAATCCGCTTGGGGAAGCTGGTTATTAAAGGCAGATGGAGTCATGCCCTAGGTTAGAGGCCAGCCTTGGGCGGATGGCCAGATCACACTGCCCACTCCTGTAGGTGAGCTACCTGAAAACATACTTGCCCTCAGCTGCAGCAAATGAATTTGACTGTAGCTCCAAACACTCATCCCCTCATTCATCTGACTACTCTGTGCCTGGCTGCATTTCTTCCCCCTTTGGTTCAAAGTGAGGGTGGCCTCTTTCTAAGTCATTCGCAATTGTTTTCTAAGCAACTGCTGCCTCGTTTATGGCACTTCAATTTTTGCACTGTCTTTTAGATATTCAAGGAAATTTTCTATTCTTTTTTTTTTTTTGCATCCAAATGTGCCTGAACTTTTAATATGTGTCAATGCTGCCATGTCCCAAACCCATGTTGAGTGTGTTTCCACAGAGCTGTGTGCCCTGGAGACAGCATGAAGCCCCATGAGCAGGTGCCTGAGACACGGACCCCTTTGCATTCACAGAGAGGTCATTGGTTACGGAGACTTGAATTCATATGTGACATTATGCCAGTTTATGTTCTCTCATGACTTGCAAACAATGCTTTTCTGTGCACTTCATACTCTTCAGTGTAGAGCTCTGTCTTATGGGGAAAGGCTCAAATGCCAAATGGTGTTGGATGGATTGATACGCCCTTATGCCGATGCGTTCTATTATTGATGTGATTCTGTTCCGTTTGCAGCTTTGCTTTGTTTAATGAAACACACTTGTAAACCTCTTTTGCACTTTTAAAAAAGAAAAGAATCCATGGGATGCTCAAGCACCTGTAAACAATTTTCTCAACCTATTTGATGTTCAAATAAAAAACTAGACAAAAGACGACAGGTTTTTGTTTTCTTGTAAGCTCTGCTTCCTGCCAGTGCTTCACCACTGACCGCCTGAGCCCGTGATGAGGAAATGTGTCTGTAGAGCACGTGGATCCTGACCAGCAGTTGGATGCCAGGCTCCCTGCCCACATCTGCGACTCCCTCTTCATCCAGACATGGGAGGAAGTGTGTGGACACTGGAATAGAGCACACCTGGCCTTGAGATCACAAACAGGTTTTATGATAGACTAGAGGCCCAGTGCATAAAATTTGTGCATAGGGGGAGGGGAGTGCCCCTCAGCCCAACCTTTGCCCTCTCACAATCTGGGATCCCTTGGGTCGGGTCCTTAGGCCTGGCTAGAAATCAGGGCCTATGGGGACTTTCCTTCCTCTAGGTGCTGGCAGCTGGCCCCGCCCCTGCCACTGCCACTGCTTGCCATTTGTGCAGTGCTGCCCTCCCTCCCCTGCCACCAGTTGCATCCCTTTGCAGGTGACAGGCATGGGGTGTGATTGCTTGGCTGGCCTTGGTCTCCCTCCGTGGGGCAATTATTGGCTGACGCTGCATACCTGCTACAGTGTCACTGGCCAATGGCCTGGGCCTCCCTCTGTGGGGTGATTGATCATGGAGGTCCCCCCAGTTGACCGCCCTGCAGAGGGAGGCCTGAGCCTCATCTCTGCAAGCGATTATAGGGCAATGGCAGTGCCTCCCAATCGCATCTCACCCACCTTGGCTGGCCTGGAGCCAGTGTGTGTCATAGCATGGTCATCTGGAAGGTCATCCGGACAGTCATCTGGACAGTCATCATGCCTTAGGTCGTTTGGTCGATTTGTATATTATACTTTTATTTTTATGATAGGTTTTCTACTTCCTTGTCAACAAAATGGTGGTAGTAAGACCTAATTCATAGGGTGAATGTGTTCACTAAAACTGGAGTTGTTTCTAATGCCTTACCTCAACCCCTTTCCAGTGAGAATGAAAAAGGAAGCTTGAGAGTAATTTTTAATGAATGAACGAGTGGATGAGTGAATGAATGACCCAAAAGTTACACAATTCACTCTAAAACCTCTCCACCCATCACGAAGATAGAGCAGGAATGACCAGTGCATCCTCCAGGTCTCCATTTCATGACTCCTCCTTGCCTTTGCACAGCTGCCTGCACATTCCCTTTGACCCATTCTCTCTGTGATTTGCCTGATGGCTCTGGGAGAAAAACAGTGTGACTCATTGAGAGGCGACATAATGCTCACACAGATTCTGCTGCTGCATTCTCAGGGTAGATCCTCACTCTGCCCTTTGTTGTGTGACCCTGGGTAAGGTACTTCCCTTGCCTCGCTCTCTTCACCTATGGAGAGAATGTCACCACCTGCCGCCAAGGGCTGCTGTGGAGATGATGTGGGTTAATTCGCGGAGAGCATCGAAGGACTTTGGTAGGCACTGAACTGACTCTCCCCTTCCCAAGCTCTTTCCACCAGCCTGTCTGTGCTCATGTCTTTATTTGGACGAAGTAAGGTTCTTCCCATTGTTTGAGTCATTTTGATTTCCAAGTAACTCCTTTGTTTTCTTGTTCTATCATCTGTGGTCAAGTTCTTCAATCCTGATTTTCTTAGGTTTCCTCCTGTCTAAAATGGAAATAAGAACAATACCCCACCATAGGGCTACTATGAGGATTAAAAAAGAGAAATATCTAAAATGCCTACTATGGGACCACACATAGGAAGCTCTCAGTACAGAGTAGCTATCTCTGTTGTAACTGTTATCACTCTGTGAGCACTGACGTTTAATGGGATAATTGATAGGTGTGGATTTCCATTTTCCATTTTGTCATTGTTTTGTGCATCTCCTTTTTGTTTCTCTTTTCCTCCTTCTTGGCCCCTCCTTTTTGTTAAATAATTTTAGGGTATATTTTAATTTTTTCTGTTGATTTTTTCTCACTTGAAATTATTTTCTTAGTGGTTGATCTTACAGTGTGCACCTTGAGTGAGCACACTCTATTTCAGCTTAATATTAATTGAAAAAATAAAGATCTTTGCTCCTAAATATTGGGATAGCTCCTTTCTTTCTCCCTCCTTTGTATTATTAGTGCCGTATATATGACATGTATATACTGAATATTATAAACTCAACAATAAAATGTTATATTTACTGGCTGATACAACTTTATATCATTTAAAGAAGTTACATAAGAAATGAGAAAAAATATATAGAGACTTTGAAAATATTAATCTCTGTGTTTATATTTTCAGCACTTTTCATTTCAGTTACTGGTGACTCTCATTAAATAGGTGTGATATATTTGATGTTGTCCTCAAAGTTTCTGAGGCTCTGTTCATTTTTCTTTTTATTTATTTTTCTCTCTCTGTTTCTCCAATTAGGTGATTTCTATTCTCTGTTGTCAAGGGGACCGTTTTTGTTTTGTTTGTTTTTTTTGTCTGCCACCTTGAATTTGAAGTTGAATTCTGATAGTGAATTTTTCATTTCAGTTATTGTCCATTTCAGCTTCAACATAAAAATGTAGTCCTTTTTCCTATAATGTCTATCTCTTATCAAAAATTCCTATTCTTTGATTCACTGTTGTCATACTTGGATTCTTTAAACAAGATTACCTTTAGATATTTAATACATTTATATTAGCTGCTTGAAGTCTTCGATGGCTACAAGCAACATCTGGGGAGGCACATGCGCAGTTTCTTTTGCCCTCTTGCACTTATGAGTATGGGTGTTTTTTTGCATATCTTACCATTTTTACTGAAAACTGAACATTTTAGACAGTATTGGTAGCAACTCTGAATTCTAGTCCCTCCTCAGGTGGCTGCTGCTGGCTCTGCGCTCTGTAGTTGTTTGTTTAGTAGCTCACGTGGGTTAAACGTGTGAAATTGTCTCTCCTACTGCGTTTGGCCTCTGGTGTTTCCGTTGGGTTTTGCATTAATTCCTTGTTTTGGTTTCTAAGCCTGACTTCCTAGGAATTGCCTTGTGTCCGCATAGCTCTGTGGTTACCTAATCACTGGACAGAGATTGCCCAGCAGCTGGGGCCATCGGATCCAGCTGCTGGGTCTGCGTGTGGATGGGGAGCATGCTGGGTTGTCAGGCTGTGGTCAAGTCTGTATCAGCTTTTTGCCTGGGGACTTTCGGTCTCTGCTGGGAATGTTACACAGCCTCAGCCAGGAATGTGCTGCCACAGCCACAGCTGCAGCCACAGCTGCAGCCACAGCTACAGCCGCAGGGTGGTGCGGCCTAAGCCTCCTGCTCACCCGCCCAGTCAAGTGAGCTGCCGGAGAGAGACCGTGGCCACAGCCACAGAGCTGCTGGTCCTCCCGACGTGCCCTCTCTGCTCCTGACCAAACCGGGGCGGGGGTGGGGAATGGTAGCAGCCCACTCAGAAGGCCGCAGGTTTGCTCTGCAATTCCCCGAAGCTCAGCGGTTGTTTAGGCACAAACGCCACTCATCGCGTTGGGTGCCTCTGGTCACTGTGCAGAGTGCTGACGTGGCATTTTTGTCAGGTTTGCGGAGGTTTCCAGCTGCTTTTGGGAGGGAGGACTTACCCTTCTCCTCACCTGGCCGGGCAGAGGTAGAAGCCCCCTCTCCACACCTGCTGTCTCTCCCTTCTTCTCAAAATGCCAGGGTACAGACTGCTGTGCCACGTGTTATCTCCAGTGGTCAGCGAGCTTTGAGAATGTTCAGCAATCTGTGGGTCTTTTATTTTGTTATTTATTTTATTTTACTTATTTTTTACTTTTTTAAAAATTTTATTTCAGAGAGGAAGGGAGAGAGATAGAAACATCAATGATGAGAAAGAATCATTAATTGGCTGCCTCCAGCACGCTCCCTACTGGGATCAAGCCCACAACCAGACATGTGCCCTTGACAGGACTGTTCAATCCACAGGCCGATGCTCTATCCACTGAGCCAAACCAGCTAGGGCGATTTATGAGACTTTGAAACCTACCCTTGGGGCTTGTCAAAGTCGGAAGGCCTGACTGGGGGTAGACTCAGCTCTCACAGTGGCTCCAGGTCACATTCTCCAGTGTGAGGTATCTTAAGCCTTTGGGACATTTAAATCCGGGGTTGCACTTTTTAGACTTGCTGCTCCAAGAACACAGCAAATTCTGAGGCAGCAAATTTTTATCATGTCTATTATTTGGACTGTGGGCATTAAAAAGCTAGTTTTAAGTTCACTATAATGGTGGCTTAAAATTGGAATATTTGTGATCACCACGAAGACGAAAGCCAAGGCAAGAAGAGGGGTGATGGTTCAAGATAGAAACGCACTTTCTACCGGAACCGCCTGCGGATTATCTGGGCCGCCTGCCGGAAGGCACAGGTGCAGTGCATTCTCTTCCACAGGAGGCACCTGGGCCTGGGCTGGGCCACCTCTGAGCCGGAATGTTGAAGCTCTCTCAGCAGATGGGATGATCTTTGATTTTCCTTTCAGCTCTGAGTTACAACACATGTGCAAGCATACACTCAAGGGTACCAGTTAGCCCTAGCCAGTTTAGCTCAGTAGATAGAGCATCAGCCTGTGGACTGGAGGTTTCCAGGTTCGATTCCAGTCAAGGGCACATACACGGGTTGCGGGCTTGATCCGAAGTAGGGGGCGGGCAAGAGGCAAATGATTAATGATTCTCATCATTGATTTTCCTGTCTCTCTCTCCCTCTCCCTCCCTCTCTGAATCAATTGTATATATTGATTATAAAAAATTAAAAAAATATATATATATTAATTTTTTAAAGTGCCCTTTATTGGTGCTTCACTATGCCAGGTATGTGAAAGTAGAGATATATTTATTTTAAGCAAATACTAAAAAATCCACATATGCACTAGCATTAAAATAGCATTTATTGGAATTTCTTGGACCCTTCTCTAGCCCCCAAAAAGAAGGGGTACTGGGGGACCTCTATTCCCAGTGGAGGATCCTGGCACCCCCAGACCCTTGGCCCAGAACACAGGGGTGAGATTAATAGAAACCCTTCTGGAAACCAAGCTGCACACCTGGAGCCTGTCCCGCGGCCTCATCA